CATTCAGCTCAGCTCCAACAATGAACTGTTACAATTATACACTTATTTTCACATAGCTATGAAAAGCGTTAAACATGGACGCGCGTGCAGTTGCCGTACTTTGTTAAAGCTTTAATCAGGATAAATCCGTATATTAAAAGCTAACAGAAGCAGTAGCATTTACAAATACCAGCATATCTAAAAGTATGAGACAACAACAAACAAAAAACATAGGCCTACCATTATAAGCTTAGAAAAAAACCAGCGAACCACCCTTTTAAATGTTTATATTTCAACAAATTAGAGTAGAAACATAATCATGTCATTTATATAATTTTATATACTACTCTATATGTACTTTTAATTGAGTGTTGATTATTAAATAAATGTAATTACTTGATTATTACATTAACTTTAGTTTTGGTTTCTTGCTAAATGAAAAAAAAAATCTGTTTCGGTTTTTCAGGTAAAAAAAAAAATCAGGATAAAACTGTATATTAAAAGCTAACGTAAGCAGTAGCATTTACAAATAACAGCGTATCTAAAAGTATGAGACAACAACAAACAAAAAACATAGGCCTACCATTAAAAGCATGCTTGCACAGGTTCTGCACGATCCTCTTCAATAACATCCTCTGCTTCTCAATCGGGCTCAAACTGATAAGCGATATTAACGACGCCGTGGTTTACAATACAACCGGAGCACATGCCGCTGAGGTGAGGGGCGGGACTATTAGACGCGCACTAGAGGCGGTTTAGCCAATCACAACACACTGGGCTAGCTAACCAATCAGAGACCATTGCCTATTTCTGAGGGAGGGGCTTCATAAAAGAAGGAAATGGATCAGCGCGTTTCTCAGAGAAGGGACAGAGCGGTGTGGAATAAAGGTAAATTATGTGAAAAGTAATGCGTTTTTTAAAAAACGAAGCATTAACACATGTTAGACTGCACCCCATAAACACAATCAAGCCTAGCAAAAACCCAGTGAACCACCCCTTTAAAAATCGTATTGTTTGTTTTTAAAGCTTTCAATGGCCTTGCCCCACCTTATGTAACTGAGATGCTGGCTTTTCGTCAGCCAAACAGGGCTCTTAGGTCAACAAATCAACTTTTGCTGGAAGTCCCGAGGTTACGGTACAAATACTGGGGTGACTGGGCTTTTTCTGTAGCTGGGCCCAGACTCTGGAATAAGCTTCCCCCCGATATGTGCACCATTACTGACCTGGGCCTTTTTAAAGCTAGGCTTAAAACTTATTTATTTAGACTGGCTTTTAATATCTAGCAATGTTGTGACATTTTTGTGTATTTTATGTAATTTTTGTTGTTGCCTTATATTTTTGTTTTTATTGCTGTTTTTTTTGGAAAGCACTTTGGTTCACCTTGAGTGTTGTAAAGGGCTGTATAAATAAATGTTGATTGATTGATTGATATATATAAAGACACACACATACAGTATATATTTTGAAAATATTTACATGTATTTATGTTTGTTTATATATAATTTATATTATATATAAATATATTTAATATATAAACAACATATTTATATATATATATATATATGCATGTGTGTGTATTTATTTATATATACATAATAGATATACATGTAATAGATTACATGATAAACTTTACATGACAAAAAATTATAAAATAATTAAAATATAGTTTTATTACTTCTCTTTATTTTATTTGTTTTATTTTTATTTATTCATTGAAAAACATGCTTTAAAGAAACATGACTTTCTTTTTTAATATCTTACTGGACAGTTCTGAGCATTCAGAACATTATTCCAGATTATAGAACCTGGCAAATGTGGACGGCGAGGCCCAGCCGGCTGCTGCACAGATCTCTGCAATGGACACACCACTAGACCAAGCCCAAGACGAGGCCATGCCTCTAGTCGAATGGGCTTTTACTCCCATGGGTTGAGTTATCACCTGTGCTCTGAAAGGAGTGGAGAGCACCTTAGGTATGTACCCTAACCTTGGTTTCAGGACGACCTTAGAGTCATTGGGCCCGAATTCCAGGCAAGAGGGGCTCACAGAGAGCGCCTGTAGATTAGAGACCTGTGCGGGACGGATTTTTCCGCAAGATTCTGTCCCGTGCCCGCAGAAAAATATCTTCTCTGGGCCCGCTCCCGCCCGCGACATTCATCTTTTGTCCCTCTCCCGTCCGCAAAACCCTGCATAAAAGTAATCTATATAGATTTTTTTTGCAGCACATCAAAGAAATTTACATTAAATGGTTCTGTAACATCTCCTATGGTCCACAACATCCCAGCATAAATGCTCCCAATAAAATATTTGTTATTTAGGTAGCATCAATATTCACAAACCACTGTTATTTTTAACAGAAAAGCAAGCATGGGCTGCTGCGTGCATGGTTTGGCAAGGCAGAATGCGAGCAGCGCTTCCTTTATTATCACTAAAAGCTGACATCTCAGTTAATCTCTATCTCATAAAGCTCTGTTATAACACAATAAATGTATACACAATGAATCTTTCACAATGTCTACACTTAATGTGTTAAAATGAGAGGATTTGTGAGCACGCAATTTCAGCACTGTGGTGAGTAGATTCTAACTTAATAACATCTGATTGGCCATTGTGTTCTAGAAAAAAAAAACAGCTGAGTCTGTGATTGGCTACATTGCGCTACCCTTTAAACACGTGTTATAAATAGAAACTATGCCTAGCTTGCGCATATCAATCATTTTAATGTTAATATTAGTTGTTCTTTTTGCTTTTGTACAACAGATAAATAACAATTTATATGTTTTAGACACTTTATATTTAGATAATTTCTATTTTGCGGGAGTCCCGCGAATCATTTTATTCTCCCGCATCCCGCCACCCGCCCATCAAGAGTTGTCCCGCGCCGCACCCTGTTACGTTGGGTCCCGCGGGTCCCGCGGTACTCCCGCAGGAGTGCAGGTCTCTACTCCAAAGTTACAAATGCTATCCAGATAAAGGCTTTCTTATGTGCCGTCATTGATTGTTCCACCTCATGTGTTTTCTCGCAGACTGGCCTGGTTCAGACTGAAGAGGAAAGACTGTTCATCGAGCCAGTGGGCCAGGCTGCGGATTCCTTCTCTGGCTGGGAACACCGAGTGATCCGGGAAAAGCATTCTTCATCGGATGGACCTGCTACTGCTGAAGACAGCGGTCCGAAATTCTGCCAAACCATCCAAGGTGAGACGATCTCTGCGCTGAAATGTGGTGGGCTTAACCGTGTCAAGTGTGGCAAGCCCATTGATTTAGAGGTCACTTTAGTTTGGTTCAGAGCTCTTCGGGATTTAATTTTGTCAAATTATGGATGCAAGAGGGAAAAGTGGTCAATTTATGCAGTCAGTTATATATGCTGTGGAATAACTGCCCTGCTTAACCTCTATTTCATCAAGAGATCTTCACTTTTTCTCTGTGCCAGAATAGTGGTTCTCAAATGGTTTAACAAGACACACACATTTTAGATATCCTACAATCATAAACAAAACCTGTCCATGTGGGCATCTGCCAAATGTGGGTGGCTTCTACCAAGTGACAGATAAAAAATGTGCCAAAAAACTGTTTATGTAGTGTTTTTAGATTGGACACACAACCATACGATGACACCAAAAGATGAAGCTTATGCAAAACATTTTAGAAGTTGATTGCTTTTACTTCTAACTATAATATGTTTAGTTGCATTTTATGATTCGCATTTGATCTCGGTGACCCTTTCGGACCAAACCTGTGAACCTCTTTTGGGTCACGACCCAGCAGTTGTGAACCGCTGCGCTCTAGGAGTCTGTTATCATAATCTCACGCTCAGATTCTCACGTGTACCCCATCTTCCTCTTTCCTCCAGGACTGCTTAAGATTCAAGAGTTGTCAAGTCCGTAAATCAAGTGTTTCATAGCAGCGTTTATGACTCTGTGTAACTCTTTGATGTCTTCATCCTCTTAACAGCGCTGAAAGACAGTGGGAGAGAGAAAGCTCAGCTGCTCAGTTTTGTTCTTTAATGCCTTTATTGCGCTGGTAAACGGCGGTAAACTCCTGTTGGAGCGTGCTGCTTTGCTGTTGAAATACTACCAGAAAGAAAGCAAGAATTCTGTTGGCCTGCTCACGTACATTAATAATGCCGTGCATATTTTCCAGCCCCTTGGGCCTTTCTTTGCCAGGATTATGGATTTTTCTTGCCGAAAGGAATTCGCTTATTTGAAAGCGGCCTCAGAGACTCTGAGCGCCTCCAACTCCTGCAGGTTTTCATATTCCGGGGCAGAAAGTTTTGTCTAAGCATATTGCATTATTGGATTTGTAGTTTACCCTTTGAAATGAAGATGCAATTATCCAAAAATCCTGGTTTGTGTATCCATGTGTGTGGATATATGCAATCCTACAGGCCAACCAAAACAATTTATGGTATTTCCAGTTGTACGCTACCCTGGTTTGTGGCTGATCGCAGACTCTGAGTCCCCTTGATCCCTTTGCTCCTTGTTTGAGTTCACTTTTTTTTTTCTTTTGACTTTGTGCACTATGAATATTACATAACCCAAAGATGAGAAGACCACCGGCATGCTTGACAAGTAGATTTTTTCCATATGCCAATATCTGGGAATTTAAGTAACCCAAACCACTTCTCAAAGGGGGAGAAAAAAACAGGAATTGAAAACAAAAGAAAGGCTGGTGGGTATAGAGTTTGTGTGTTTCAGGCATGCGGTCAAACTCCAGCGATCTTGTCTTTGCCGTAAAAAAGCTCCAGGTGCATTAGCGATTCTGTTTCCCCCAGCACCTGGTGTCTGCGAGTCAGTCAGTCAGTCAGTCAGGCGTAGGACCAATTGGCGAAAAAAGTGCCAGATTTGGGGGAAAAATTCTTTCCTCTGCGCTCACGTCTGTTGGAGGCCTTTCAGCGGGCCTGCCAGAGTCTTCTCTCTTATTTCCCACCAGTGTTAGGGAAGCTGCTTCGAAACCTAAGCTTGCCAAGATACAAGCTGCTCATAATTTAAAGTAGTTCAAATACAGTCAGGCTGCCCTTTTGATAAAGTAGTCTGTTCCACCAACGGTGTGATTTTCAGTGAAATGCGCTCTTATAGTGGTCTGAATCAAGTTGATTTTATTCTTATGTGAGCAGGATTGAGGTTTGGCAAAGTATTTTTATCTGGTGTTTTTCTTTAAATACATAGTTAAATTAAAGTGATTGAAAAATGCTTGTCAATATTATGATTGTCTGATAATATTGTGGACGACCATAAATGATAAGGTAGGATTGATCAGTATAATGTGTAATAATGTGCTGAACTACCGTTCAAAAGTATGGAGTAGTCAATAAAATTTAGTTTCTTATAGGCTGCATTTATTTGGCCAAATATACAGTAAATACAGTATATTGTGAAATATTATTAGAGTTTAAAATAACAGTTTTCTGTTTGAATGCATGTTAAAATGTAATTTATTTCTGTGATCAAAGCTGAATTTTCAGCATCATTACTCCAGTCTTCAGTGTCACATTTTATTTTAAGGCCAAATTCTCACTATTAACACGTGCACACACACACACATACATATTAACTACAACTTTACCTCAGTAAACTCCTAATTACTGCTTATTAATAGTTAGTATGGTAGTTGTTAAGTTTAGGCATGGGTTAGAATTAAAAGATGTGGTAATGCAGAATATGTGCTTTATAAGTACCAATAAACAGCCAATATGCTAGTAATGTGCATATTAATAAGCAACTACTTAATAGTGAGAACTGGTCCCTAAAGTTTTTGCTTCATATTTTTTTTTCTTTATTAAATAGAAAGTTTAAAAGAACAGCATTTATTTGAAAGATAAATTAGTTTGCAAGCTTATAAATGTTTTACTGTCCTTTTTATGGATTTAATGCATCCTTGTTGAATGAAAGTATTAATTTCTTTCAAAAGTCAAAATATCTTACTGACAGTACTGCATAACTAAAAATGTATTTTGTATGAAGGGAGTTTCAGGAACACATTTGCATGATGATACAAATTATTCAGTTACATCATTTTACTGTATAAAAACAGAAAAAAATTGTTGCACTGTACTGCTGCTTCTTGAAAACAAAAAAAAAAACAGCTAGTTATTATTAGTATTTTGAAAACAGAAGTGCTGTCATGCAACTGAAAATGTACTTAAGCTAGTCACGTCCTGACGTTTAGTTAGTCTCTCCCCAATATTACAGTCCTCCACCGTCTCTTCCTGTTGAAAAGCTCAAAACAGTTGAGTGAGAAAAGTTGAGCTTCCCCCAATAACTCCACCTCAAAAACCAAACCATCCCTAGAGGAGGATACTCGCTGAGACAGACCTTAAATCCATTAAACTCCAAGTGCCCCTCTCGGACACACACACACACACACGTACGCTGTCTGGATGCGTAAGATGGATCAGGTTGCACGGTGGTGGCTGCAGAAGTGCGGAAAAGCTGCCGGTTTTCCTCAGTGCTTCCTGCTCCGTCCCACTGAAATATGATACGACAAAACGCACTTAGCATTTCTAATCGGCCCGTGTAATCTGCGGAGCTGTGCGTCCCTTGATCCGTTCTTCCCACACCGGCATGCCAGGAAGCTCAGGTTCGGCACAAACAGACTCTTCGCTTCATTCTTCATGTCGGTACGTTCCTGTCGTGAGTGGGCTTGAAGAGGATCACGTATCCAGATTGAGAGGAGGGAACACCAGTCTGGGAGCAGACACAAAGACCGATCTGAGCCGGGAGGAAACAACGTGTGAAATTCACAGGGCTGATCCAAGAAGAGCGCTTGATTGATGCGTACGGCACATTCACACTGAACTCTGGGAGTGGGACGACCGAGGAGGGGCTGCTTAGTGACTAGTTTGGTGTCTGGAGAGAACAGAATCTACCCAAAACGATAATGACTGATTGTTATTTAGGCGGTGCGTTTAACCAAAGCGACTTGCAGTGTATTTGTTACAGGGAGAAGAACACAATGGTAAAAGCTCTTGGATCAGCTCTTGCCCTTTTGCTTAGCCAGATTGGTGGTGTAATTGTAGACTAATACTAAAACTACTAAAAATTGAACACTTTAATGAACAAATAAAAATGAGAAATGTTGTCTTGGCAACTAACTGAAAATAAGTTAAAATTGAAGTACTAAAATTAGTAAAATTCTAATAAAAAAAAAAAAATTAAAGCTAAATAGAAATATTAAAAAACACATGAAAAAAAAATACATTTCTAAAACTTCATATTTAAAATGATAAAATAAAAGATAATTCAAAATAATAACAATATGAGTCTAATTAATAATAAAATAACACTGAGTCAGATGCATCCCCCCCACATTAAATGCATAAAGAGTTAAAATGGAATGACTCTGAACCATGTTTCTACATGCAAGTACATATAAGCACTCTTCACATGCTCTAACCACAAGGTCACTTGCTCTTTAACTACTAGGTTACACCACCTTTTAAAGTAATAGTGCACACAAAAAGGAAATCATATGAACATTTACTCACTCTCGTGTATTTTCTTTCTTCTTTGAAACGTGAAAGGAGATGGTAGACAGAACCTCAGAGGTTCTGTTTTAAATATGAACAAAATGGATGGTGATTTATACTGTCAAGCTCTAAAATTCAACCCCTATTCTACTTTTGTGTCCCACAGAGAGACAGCAGATTGTTAAAGGGGTCGTTCACACAGAATGCATCTAAAAATGCGAGTGTGCGAGGGTCTTGAGACGTGATGCAATAACAGTGCCTCCTCCGCTATGTTGCTGTCAAATAAATAGTTGCCATGCCAACTTGCTGCTGGTAACAAAAGCTTGCAACAATAGCCCGCCTCCGGGGTCTTCTGATTGGTCCACTGTTTTGGAACTGACATTGATGAGCGGCGCTTCGTGTAAAAGTTGAAATTCTGTCATCTTGACATGGCGTATTAAAAATGCGGCGCTCATGTGCGAGACGTGTAAAAAAACGCGAGACGTGAGCGCAACATTAAAAATAGCACATTGCAATGAAAAAACGCATTCTGTGTGAACGGCCTCTAAGAATGGCATGAGAGTAAGTAAATGATGACAGAATAATGACAAAATGTATTCCTCTAACAGTCCAGTTTCATACAGCATAAATTTTAGGGTATTTTTAATTCTTGACCTTAAAACTGGGCCTAGTCATTGATCATTTTACTTTGCTTTATGAGCTGTTCACTTCAAGTTCTGCTCAACACTAC